CCGTTGAGTAAACCATCACCAAGCCATGATTTAAATATGTTATATCCGTTCGATTTTTAGTAAGTTCTTGTGAAGTAAGGAAAAATTCGACTAATTTAGGATAGTCTGGCAATTATAAAAGATGTCTAATAAGAAATTTAATTAATACAAATAAATTTGATTGAATTGATTTACCATAAATGTTGTCGATAATAGGAGAAATAGGAGAATTCCTATATTTCCTCTAAACCATTTTACAGGTCCCGGTAGTTTTGCCTCAAAATTTTTATATTTTCGTTTTTCTAAGAAATAGGAACTAAAGAATAATACTGTAACAGACGTAATTAATGCTAATATCAACTTTCGTAACTATTAACATTTTTTTTCGAAAAGTAATTAATTCAAATTTTAGATTACTAATTATAAATACATCAACATGTTGGTACAGTAACCTTTGAATATTTATAATGTTAAAGGAAAAGTTCCAGTTTTTTAAACGGCTATTAAAATTTTAATTATTTGAATAATAAAATGTGAGATATGATAAATATTTTTTTATTTCTTAGTTGAATATGCATCATAATATATCACGCCTTATAAAAAATGTTATAAATAAGGAAAGTATTCGGCACTTCTTAAATATTAACTATGAAAATGCTTAAATAAGTGGGATTATAAACAATTTTTAGATCTCATAACTACTTTAATTCTTAGTATTACGATATTGTAATAATTATTTAGGAATGCATTAATGAATTTTATACATATAATGATAAAATTTATTATTAACTCCAAAGTTTTAATATTAGTAAACAATATTTTCTGTTTCATAAACGTTGATGTCCTAATAGATGAATTTGGACATTAAATGTACTTGATGAATATACTTTTATCACATTGTCAGGAGTAGAGTAGTGACAGTCCCTATTGCGTAATTCATGCAAAAAAGGCCACACTTTCTTCTGAAAAGCTTTAATGACAAACCTTGCTCATTCAATAAGAATGATTACTAAATTGATGTGAGCTGCGGTTTGGGAGAGTGAACGTGATGCCGTAATTTTCCAGATCTGCAGATCATAAGACCCTACACAATCAGTCAGACTGTCATTCCTTAGACAGTTGTTGCTTCAATCTCCGTAATTACTTTTAGTAATTACCGTCAGTATTAATCTGTGCTCATGAGGAATGAATAATATACAAAACGCATTTCTGCCAATTCTTTTACCTTGTACTACAAATAACACTGTAAAATGTAAGTGATGAGTAAAAGAATGGTTAAACATATTAAAGAAGTACAGCAGACTACGAATCTCGCTAGCACATTGGAAGTTGTCCAGAAGAAGAGACAGCAGACTATTGCAGTGCTATTAAAAGTTAAAAAAGCTTGCGATTCCGTTTAAAAAGATGCGTTTCTGGAAAAGATAATCGATGTCGAAATCAGTTAAAAATTGCTGAACAAAGTAAGAATGTAGAAAAACACTCTTCTAGAAACTAAGAAGGAAACCAAAACCCAAGATGGTATTCAAGTCAATTTGGAAATTCAGTTGGACAATAAGATAGGTCTTGATGAAAGTATTGAAGACGTAGTCAACACTGCACTTAATCACACAAGGGGAACAAATCCACAAGGATTCAAAGTGACGATAAAAGAAAGACAATCTAAGTCCACGAAAGCACCAAAAATAGACAATTTTCTAAACAAAGCATAGAAGATGCTTCTCGAAACTACAAGCTTGCGAATCATGATGTTAATAGAATAATAAAGTGGAAAGGATTCTTTTAGTATGTTAAAATCTCAAAATAGAAGAAAAATTCATTACAATCCGTTTGAAACGAGAAAATCATCAATTTACTAACCGGGTTATTTAAAATTATGGTAAGAATTCTACAGGAACTACTACAAAAATAAGTCGAAGAAAAAGGACCGAAAAAAAGGTATCAATTTGGGTTCAGGGAACATAAAGGGAGTGTACAGCAAGCTACATCTCATTAGCACATTAGAACTTGTCCACGAGAATAAATAGCAGACTATTACAGTGAAATTCGATGTTGAAGAATCTTGTAACACTTCTCTAATTTCTCGGCAAAGATAGCACCAACTAAGACATAATTGTAAATGATACGGGTATGGTGGCCAAACGGAAGGGAAGTTTGACGACTGAATGTGCTAAAACCTAAGCAACTGTAGATACACTTAATGGTTAATATAAATGTTGAAGAATTGAAGAAAACCTCACTGAATATCTCAAAGCATATAGAAATAAAAGGGGAAAGTGCATACTTTGTGGTCAAAGGAGCAACAAACAAGTTACAATCTAAAATAGGAATAAGAAAATCTTTATTACGATAGTTAAAATTTCGTAAGAAGCCGAAATATAAATATCATAATATAAAATAATTGAAATAGTTAAAAAACAGAATTCTACGTTCAGCAGCGAATACCGCTTGCTATGTCAGGAACACAAACATTTTGCAATGGACGAGAAAGAGTTGTGTAGTAGTCTCCCCACTGTTTTAGCTGCTGAAACAAACCTGGCCTAACCTGATGCGAAGAAATATGCAGTCTAACTCTAACATCAATCATTTCATCAGTATTATCCCTACACGATCAATCAAACTGTTACTGTTTGTAAATACTGACAATTTGTATGATTGGATGATCCTATACCGATAATAATGACCCAGTTACGATACAGCGTTGAGCGGTGGAAGGCAGAACGACACTATTAATTCACCGCTCACCGCCCATTGAAGACATAAAATTTCGGTCAACCCCATATCAGTGTTTTTAAAGTGAAGACAATGGCAGAAAAGAGAAAGTTATCGAGTCATTTTTGAGTGGGAGCTACTGATTTTGGAAGTTTGAATCTTTAATGGAGGTCACCAAGGATGTTATTATTCCAAGTCCTATAACAAGAAATCTGTAGCATGCTTCTACGCAAGAAGATTCACATGGTTCAAACACATTCAACGTTTGAACGTATCAAACTTACATTTTCTCAGGTTTGGAATCCCGAAAATTCAGACAACCTAAACTAAAATTGTTTGTTGATTGCAGTGTTCTTTTACTGATTGTGGGTTGCAGTGTCTCTTCTGATGTCACCCTCAATGATGTTGAGAACCGTTTCTTCGTCAAATGATTGTATGTTTTCTGGAGTAATCAATTGTCCGTATAGAAGTATGGCAATTTGTCAAGCTTTTTTCACCATACATTTTTCTACTCTTGTTTATGAGGCGAACGATGGCGTTCGCAGTATGAACGCAGGCCAAGACGTTGGCCAAGACGCAGTATGGACTGCGTCTTGGTTTTAACAACATCCTGATTAGGATGATGATTGAGCTATATACAACCAAAACAGAATGCTATGTCTTTTTGGATTAAATGTGCAGTCAAAACTGAAGTTGTATAAAAAGTCCATATTTCAGGCTCTTGAAGATATTCAGATTTATAAATAGTAAATTTCAAGTATCATCTTGCTAAGAATAAGAATGATTAATAAATTTTCTCTTACTACTCCGTAAGCATTATGTTAATACTGTATTTATTGAAGGACTTCTAAGAGTTATGGAAGTGAACGCCAAAAAGTTGAATAAAAGAAGTACTAGACTCTGGGGTAGATTAACTGGAAAGGTTGTCGTCCGTATTTGGTGACTATAAATATCCAAGAAGAAAAGCTTCGTTTGGCATAGATAGGCCGGTATTGCTTGTCAGGTTTGTCCAGTTACGGCAGAAATTTAATATTATTAATTTACTTATCTTTAGCTGTTGCTTTAGATAGAATTGTAAGGAAATCATGTTTAATCAAGAGATTTTTACAACAGGAAGTGTTCACTATAAAAAGATAGAAAAATATGTACAGAGAAATTATTTGTACAAACCCAAATTTTACAACTATTTGGAGGTGGATCAGGAAGCAAGGTATTTGGACTTCTGTTTAGCTTCTGTTGGACTGTTATAAACTACTAATTTTCTTCGACTAAATTTGTGTTGAATGTACTTTTACCTCTCTGTCGATACTGGAACAGAGGCAATTCCCATTGTCTAATAATTGATGCAGAAAGATAGACTTTACATTTCCGATAGACGGACGCATTTCTTTCAAAATGAACTACATTGCCCAATCAATGAGAATGATTACTAGGCGAAATAATCAATTTGATTACAGATGAGATGTGGGAGAGTGACTATGATTATCTTGGCTTGTCAGATCTCCAGATCTCACAACAACGAATTTTTTTATTTGAGTTGGTTGAAACGAATAGATAACTAAGAACATATTCCAAATACTACCGAAATATTAAAAAACAGAATAACACATGTAGTTTGATGAATAGTAGTTTTGAAAACAATAATGATCTGCGATGTAGATTAACTGGAAAGGTTGTTGTCCTTATTTGGTGGCTACATATCTCAAAGGCGAAAAGCTTCGACATGATTAGATACTTATCCACAAGCACTCATAACGGCATGATATGCCGCAATTAAACTTATATCGAATTTATGCAACGTGATATAAGTTCAGGGATAGCCACTGCTTTAGCTGATTTTTTAGATTTAATTGTAAGGAAAACATTGATGTATACAAGTTTTTAGCACAGAAACAATGACGTAGTTGATAACATGTGGGAAATATGCTTTCTGTATCATAGACAGAAATTTCAATGTTATTAACAAAAGGAAAGAAACCTGAATTGTTTTGGGTATAATGCCTTTGTTAGTAATTGAGGAAAATATCAATCAGGCAGTGACTACGTACGCTTTGCAAGCCATTTTTCTTCTGTATCTCATTTGGTTTGGTAGCAATTTTAATAGCGCGTTCTAATACTTCTCGAAATTTAATGCACCCTTCTTACTTATTCATGTAATTAGACACTAAAGAATCGAAAGTGTTCCGTACCATTCTTAAAAATGCGAAACATTAACTATCGTGGTCGTCAAATTTATTTAGGCATTCATTCTAAAAATCAAGATAATGAAGTAATTCTCTACAGCATTATATGTAGACATTGTAGACAGTATATTAAAGCCAGAAAAATATGTTTTTATTCATAATAATTTGAGATTGTTTACAAACAAGATCCGTTATCTGAGTAAATGTATTTTTTTTAAATTTTTTTAATTTTCTCTATATGTAAGTTTAATTGGTAAACCATTCTTAGATTTAATCACTCCGGCTCCAATAATAAGAGTATGCGGTTCATCTGAAGGACTTAGATCAAAATTCCTTATTATATTAGCCAAAACAATTTTACAATTCATAATAGCGTATCTTTGGCCTAAAAATATTACATTAAAACTAATAATTAAGTTTATATTTTAATATAATTTACCAATACGTAAAAATCGATCAGGGTTAAACACTTCCGGTTCTGGAAATAAAGCAGGGTCGTGATGCTGTGCATAAGGATGGAACGAAACGTTGGTACCTTTCGGAAATTCAAGATCACCTAAAAATAAATTTTAATTGAAGTAATTAAAGTTAAAATATGATTTAACCTATTTTAACATCTTCAAGAAGTTCTCTCTCAAAAAAAGATACTGGTGGGAAAATTCGTAAGCATTCTTTAAAAGCTCGATCCAAATAATGTAATTGTTTAGCTGCCGCAGCAGAAATTTCTGTATTTCTGTCTTCACCAACAACATCAATAATTTCATTTCGAATTTTTTGGCAAACCTCTTTATGTTTTGCAAGTTCGTACAAAGAAAACGATAATGCTGTTCCAACAGTATCTTGCCCCTACATGAATTTGAGCGTGTTACCAAAGAATATCAATAGAATACTTGATTAAACTTACAGCGAACATAAACGTATTAACCTGCCATTCAATCTCTTCATTGCGGAGGTCACCATGTTCCAAAAGGACATCTATAAACACTCGTCGTTTACGAATACCATAATCATCTTGATCGTTTTGAACACCGACTTCGAGATCTTTTCTTCGTTTTTGAATAATATCCGTAGTAATATTATGCATAGTTTTTATTCGGGAATAATAATGTTTACTTTCTGATGTAAACGCATATAGAGTATCGTATCTGTTTAATAAAGAAAAAAATCTAAGTACAACAGCCTCCAACGTAGCATCTAGACATGTAGCAAAAAGACTGTTACCAGCTTCTTGGGAACGGAAATTTATTGCCATTGAGGATTCTAAATGATTATTTTTCAAATATTGTAATTGATTTAAAATTTGATTTTATATTACCACATAACGAATCAAGTGCGTAAAGCTTCATAAAAGGAAATATATCGAAGACTTTTCCTGATTTTTTCTTTAATTTTTGAATTAAAATTTGACTGTTGTTATGAAAATTTGTGGAAAATTGGTCTAGTATACTAAAATGAAAAGCGGGGGTTAATATTTTACGATACTTCATCCATGTTTTCCCATAGCTATTTATTAAGCCTCCTGGACCAAGCCATGATTCCGCTATGTCATATCCTGCCGATTTTTTAATATGAACTTGAGATGATAGAAAGTATTCAACCAATTTTGGATCTGTTATGAAAACATTTAGCCGATGTGGTCCTTGCCATACTCTTAAAACATTTCCATATGTTTTTATAAGTCGTTGACAATTGCGAAACAAATCTGCAATACAATTTTATCTTCGTTTTTTTAAGAATTCTAATCTAATTACCAAACGTGTTGTATCCTAAATCACCGATGTTTCCTGTGAGCCAATTAGCAGGTGGACCGGGTATTTTCTCATCTACACATTTATATTTTCGTTTTTCTCTAAAACACCATGTAAAAAATAACACGGTTGTTATGAGTAATATTATAATAAACATCTTGTTTGATGTCTATAAATCAAACTGCGTCTTATTAATGCAATGTGTAGGTTTGCAGTGTTTTATTAAGTTATTCAGATGTTTAATAGGTTTATCTATATTCCAACAGTTTGTTTACAGCGTGTTGCCGTGTATCCTAGTAATTATAAATTCCAACATCATAATAATTGCGACTACTTTAAGTTATTTATACTAATTGGGGACTTTGTACTTTAACGATATAGAGATGTCTCGAAATAAGCAAATAAAAACATAACATTTTATCCTCTACTATTTATTGATACCAGGTATTATGGTTGAGATATTCATAGGTTTAAAATTAGGTTATCGATCATGCTTTCTCATAAAAGCTTTAATGTTAATGTTAAACCAGAGAGCAAACTTGGGGTTCTTCGCAAGATATAGAGCATATTCATCAAAAACTGAGAGTATATGCGTATTGAGGAGAGTATCCTTCGAATCTATACATGGTATACAACACTTTTCTACATTTCTTGTAAGAATCACGATATCACGATAGCTAATCGCAATCTTGTATGTATACTATAAGATTTAGACGTAATGACACAGCTAACGGTAAAACAGCCAAACAAGGTGCCTCGTCACTTTGATTTGAATAAATTCGTACATACATCTGTTGGGAGAATAAGATCAATTTAGTGGATGTGGAATTGGTATGCAGTTATACACAATATTGAATAGATAGGAGATGACGTGTTAATAATATCTTCCACTCTTTAAAAACAATCTTCAAGTATTAAAATCATCACACATTTAATAAGTCATAGAAACAAAAACTTTACATTGTGCCGATACAGGATTAAATAGGTACTGCAATAAAGGTCTACATATTACTATTGGAAAACTACTAATTGCTTCCAAGATACAGAAAACTGCTTGATAGATACTCTTAATAAAAGCGTTGATCCTGCATATAGGAGTCTGGATCGTCCTTATAGAAAACCAGGTGCTTCTTGCAAAAGGCTAGACACTACTTGTCGACGATTGGATAGCTACTATAAGATCAATTCGGTTGGTCACGATCTCCTGCCGTTCCTTGTGTGTGCGTGCTGATTCTGCGCTCTCGTCTGTTTGTGATATTAAATGTGGTGTACCCCAGGGTTGTGTATTGGGTCCGTACTCTTTTCAATTTTTATTAATGCCATCACCTATTGCATTTCTTGTAATTATCATGTGTATGCTGATGACCTCCAAATTTGCACTACGACAACTATTGATGATTTTCTGGAGGCAATTGTACGTCTTAATCATGATCTTTCTAATATTTTGGATTGATCTAAACGTTATGGCCGTCGACCTTTACTGGTGCACCTATTCACCTAATGCTTGACGGTGACATTATTCAGCTGTCAGATACGACAATGTCCTGGAAGCCTCAAATTCAATCCGTCTGCAGAAAGGTCTATCGTTGTTTCCACTCGCTGAAAAGTCTCCGTTGCTTCCTTCCTCCCATGGTCCGTCGTAATCTTTGTTGTTCTCTGATTTTCCACCATATAGATTATGCTGACATGGCATATCCTGATCTTTCGGTAACACTCCGAAACAAACTGCAAAAATTTCAAAACAACGGTATACGGTATATCTTTGATCTCGAGAAATCTCAACACATAACTCCATACCGTAATTATTTACAGATATTAAGCTGTCAGAACAGTAGATCGTTTCGTATATTGACTATGTTATACACTGTTCTTCACAATCAAACACCAGGGTATCTGTACTGTACATTTCAACGCTTGTCGTCGCATGGTTTACCCACTAGATCTCAGTTAGATTCTCTGCTTATGTTCCCGACCCACAGTACTGAGATTTACCATAAATCATTTACTGTGCAGGCGATAACCCTTTGGAATAGATTTTATGTGAAAACAATCACATATTTTAAAATTTCAACTCTCTTCCTCATCTGATTTTACCATTATGGAAATGCGTCGTATCTTGAAAACGAGACAATCATATGTTAAGGATATGAATAAGAATATGATGAATTGTTGAAGTCTCTTTTGCTTTTTATGGAACGTAATATTTCCCGCAGCTGCATGATAGCCGATAGATTCTCGCTTTCATTAATGGGGTTAGTTTGTCTTTAGCTAAAAGAAGAGCCTTCCGGGATTTTAATGACCGTACTCTATCGTACCACAATATCGTTAGAAAAGCGATTCACAAAAAACAAAGGCTTTGGACGACCAGAATACGCAGGGACATAGAAACCAATAGATTGTAATATTGATAGAGGATCTATTTTATTCTTTAATATTTTATATAAAAATCTAAGACCCAGCAACCTCCGTCTAACGGACAACCGTACTATATCAAAGTGCTTCCGAGCAAACTCGTAGGATTGAAATCTGTTATATTTTTTATAGTAAATATATCTAATGAACTTGTTTTGTACTGTCTTTAGAGCATCCGAGTGTAAAGCCGTACCGGGATCCCACAACAACTGCATATTCATACTTCGACCTAATTAACGAATTGTAAAGTAATTTCAAAGTGTCAATATTAAGAAAAGAGTGAGCATTTCTAATAATAAAACCAAAAAGTCTTAAAGCTGATGCAGTTGTGGCTTTAACGTGCTCATTAGAATAGAAATCTTGTGCATATTACACCTAAATCCTTCATTCTTACAATGTTCCTTTTTATAACATTATCAATATGATAATTGAAAGTTATTGGTTTTTTCTTTAATGTAAATGTAATTTTTTCACACTTTGTTACATTGAGGAGGAGCCTATTTTCATTACACCAAGTCAAGAGTCGAGTCATTTTCATTAGGTACAGTTCGAAAAACTTTTAAATTATCAGCAAAAAGCAAGCATTCGGACTCTTTTATGACTGTTGGCAATTAATGAATATCAAGAATAGTAAAGGTCCTAGGTTACTTCCCTGCGGAACAAAAGATTCTATTTTAAATTTAGAACCTAAATCATAGAACCTGATGTATGAATGGGCGTCACCCTTGCCAACTTCCAATGTGAAGGGAAGGTACTTGTTCTGATAGCCAGATTGAAAATTATGAAGAGAGGTAGACCAAAATATTCTTTACACCCTTTTAACAAATATGGTGGGACATCATCGGGACCTTGCGCTTTCTTAGGCTTTAATTTCCCAATTGCCTCCAAAATTTCATCGTTTGAGATAGGATCAAGCATAAACAATTCAAGCGAGCTTTTCTCATGAATTTTATCATAATCACTAAGCATGTAGCTGGAAACATTATCAAAACCTGAGTTAAAATATTTAGCAAATGCCAGATTTACGCTTGCACCCGATGAACATCTTACACCATTCCGTTCAAAATATGTTGATTCATTTAGTTTCCTTTTTTGTATGAAATAAAGTTCCAGAAAGCATTTGGTGCGTATTTAATATTTTCCTCCACTTTTAGAGTGTAGTTGTTGTATGCTGTATCGATGTCAAGCTTTAGTTTCGCTCTTAATTCTTTAAACTTATTTAAATGATACACAGATGTACTTTTCAATTTGCTGTGAAAATGTTTCAGCTTACAACATAAGGTAGGCGGATAAAGCCGACTAGTGCAATACTTACCGTGTCTTCCCTCTGCTTGTCTTGTTTGATGGATCGTTGGATATCCCTTAAAGTGTAGACGTTCTTCTCAAGTACATATTATAGAAATTCTTCTTTCTATAAATTCTTTTCATCGCATATCCTCCTCGTTGCAACAAGGCTTGGATCACTGACCTGTTCTCTTATGGATGGTGATGGGACGAAGCCTGCAGATACCTGTTTGTATGTGTCTTTTTCCGATATACTCCCAGTTCCATGCCTCCATCCATTTGCAGCTTCCGTTTCCATGATAAATTTGATTATAGGGTGTTCTGGGTTCAGGTGGTCTAGGAGTTTCTGCAATAGCGCTTTCGTGTTGCCATATCAAGACGGTGTGATCCACGAACCTCAAATATCTCCATGTAAAAATGGGCGATTACAGGTCATAAATGTGATCTTATAGGTGCCCTTTCGCATTGCTTATAAAATTCTAACTTCCAGCTAAAATATGTTGATGATAGGTACTATCATGATAGATACTATGATAGGTACTATGATAGGTACTATGATAGGTACTATGATAGGTACTATGATAGGTACTATGATAGGTACTATGATAGGTACTATGATAGACTATGATAGGTACTATGATAGGTACTATGATAGGTACTATGATAGGTACTATGATAGTACTCCACAAGCCCTGGAACATACTTTAGGAAGCCCTCCGGGATGAGATTCAGGCGAAGACCATCCACGGCATCTTTGACTGGTATACTGGTTCGTAATGGTAATAGAGATCTACATCGAAACTTACCAGAATATCCTGGCCATCTAACTTCATACTTCTAATTGTTCCCACAAAATGCGTAAAAATCTGTGATATTTGATTCTGTTTTACTTATAAAGAAGGCAGAACCTTGGAAGGTGTTTCGCCAGCTGATACGTTCAAAAATTTATGACACTGACAATAGGACGTAGCGAGAGATCCGCTTTATTAATTTTTGGTAATCCATATATTTTTGTGGCTCTGGGACTTGTACGAACAAACTTCTCTATTGTTCTCCTGGAATTTCTGTAGGTTTCATCAATTCCTTCATGTTTCTCATTATCTCATTATCTTTTTTGTCCATGACCACGTTTCTATTCCCTTTATCTTCTGCTAGGACTATGATGTCTATTTTTTCTCTTATCGTTCGTGCCATTCTTTCGTTAATTGTTAGGTTTGATTTTTATGACTTCGCTGTTTTAAGTACTCTCACTGTCTTGTCGAATTTCTTCTGCTTTCGCGGTAGGTATTCTACTAAACTTTCTTTATCTACCTATGGAATCAAAATCGCTCCATCTCTCGGTAAAATAATATGGGATGAGGTCTATGAAGGGCTTGTTTAACTTTATTAGGCTTAAATTTTAACTCGAGTGACTCAATAAAGCCGGCAACGCTTCCGCAAGAACATTTCAAACCTTATCGCATTTAATGCGATAACATGATGTGAATCAAGATAATTATCTATAGACTATAGACAGTTATTTAGATTTTGTACCAACAAGTACAATTCTGCATAATGTATGCATAATGTATTAACTTGAAAATGTTCAAATTACCTACTATTATATTAACTCTTTTATTACGGACTCATTTACATAACAGTGTTTTATAATTTTCGAAGTTACTTTAAAATTACTTAAAAAAATATTACTTCTATAATTAATGTAGCTGAAGAAAAATTTTAATATTATTTGAAAAATATAAAGTGGTAATCGAAAGTAGTGCACAACACTTTTTTATTCTTTTTACAGGAAAATATTATATCGACGATTTTTCACTCACAGGATTATTATAAAAACTAGTTGGAAACTGACTCAAAACTAAAATTACATTTTGAAATAATTGTTTTGCAAAAACCCGTTATATTTTACAGCGCCCGAATAAAATTATTCAAACACATTTTATTGTTCATATCAACAAATGTTTGCAAATAAAACTTTTTTATTTCACTGTGAAATATTTATTTGTTTTAATATACTTTTAATATAACAAATGATTAAATCGATATTTACTTTTTATAAATGAATTTAATAGGTAAACCATTCTTTGACCTTAAAATCGCCGAATTACCTAAAATCGGTGTGTGCGGATCTTCTGAAGGACTTAAATCAAAATTTCTTATTATATTAGCCACCGCTATTTTTACATTCATAAGTGCGTATCTTTGCCCTAAAAAAGTCAATTAAAATTTTCAATTCTACATTTAATTATGTTGTTTACCAATGCAATTTCTTGGTCCAGCACTAAACGGTATGTAAGCAAAAGGATGTCTAGTCGATGAGATTTCCGGTAAGAAACGATCCGGATCAAATACTTCAGGATCTGGAAATAAATCAGGGTTGCGATGATGCGAATAAGGGTGAAAGGAAACCGTCGTTCCCTTTGGAAATTCTAGACCGCCTAAAAGAATTGTCGATGTTAAGGGAGGTCAAATAAAACAACAGTGGAAACTCGACCTATTTCAACGTCTTCAACAAGTTCTCTTTCGAAAAGAGGTACCGGTGGGTACAAACGAATACATTCTTTTAAAACTCGATCCAAGTATTGTAACTTTTTTAAATCCGACGATGTAATAATGGCTTTTCTATCTTCACCAACAACCTCAATAATCTCTTTACGAATAATTTCACAAACATCTGGATGTTTTGCAAGTTCGTATAGTGAAAATGATATACAACTTCCTACAGTATCTTGTCCCTAATATTAATAAGTTAAAAAAAATCAAGAATTAATAATTTCATACATACAGCGAATAAGAATGTGTTGACCTGCCACTCGATTTCTTGTTCAGTAAGACCACCATGTTCTACAAGACTATCCAAAAACACCCTCTTTTTTCTAATACCAAAGTCATTATCTTTATCGTCTTCGATTATATTAGTTCCAAGTTCTTTCTTTCGTTTCCGGATAACACTCAAAGTAACCTCTTGCATATTTTTTATTAGTTTATTATATATTTTGCTTTCGGGTGTTAATGCAAACAAAGAATCGTATCTGGTTAATACAGAAAAAAATCTACGCATAAAAATACGTAAAGCTGATTCTAAACACGACACGTATAAACTTTTTCCGGCTTCTTGAGAATGAAAATTAACTGCCATTGAAGTTTCTATTTTCATTTAAAAAAAATAAAATTTTAATTGCAGCATTGATATAAAATCAATATTTTTACCGCATAAAGCATCTATTGCGTAAAGTTTGATGTATGGATATATATTAAACGTTTCTCCTGATTTCTTCTTTAATGTTTCAACTAAGATTTGTGAATTGTTGTGAAAACCACTTGGGAATTGATCTAACACACTGAAGTGAAAAGCTGGTGTTAATATTTTTCGGTACTTCATCCATATTTCGCCGGTACTATTAATTAATCCATCACCAAGCCAAGATTTAAATATATCATATCCACTTGATTTTTTGATATGTGTAGTGGAGGAAAGGAAAAATTCAGTAAGGGTTGGATCTGTTATAAAAACGTTCATTCGAAATGGACCCTGCCACACTCTTACAATTTTACCATATGTTTTTAGAATTCTTTGAGAATTTTGAAATAAATCTAAAACAAAATTAATAATAATAATATTTATTAAAAATCTAATTTTTAAATAATATTACCATAAATGTTGTTTCCAAATTCTCCAATATTACCAGTTAATAATTTTACGGGAGGTCCAGGTAATTTTTTCTCAAGATTCCTATATTTAGCTTTTTCAATAAAGTACCAAGTGAAAAATAAAATGTGAAGCGTTGTGATTAATAAAACTAAAACTAACATTTTTATTTTCTGTTATTTTTGATTATGAAAAACTATTAATTTGTATTAAATTAACTTTGTATAAAGTTTTAATTCCCAAGACCTGTTTTCAAACTAGTAAATTTATAAGCAGTTGACATTATCTAAAAAATAAAAAAAGGGTTATTAAATGAAAAAAATCTAAATTTTTTTTACTCTATAAAACGTCTCAAAGTTGCAATCCCCCAATGGTCCACAAACGAATTGTATCGGCTTGTTCGCTCTGAGCAACATAAACATAAGATCTTTTTGTACTCTTGTACTACTATTTCCCCATTCAATACCATAAGCTACTTCAGCAATGGAAGTACTCTAAAAATTAAGAAATGTATTATAATAAGACACAAAAGTGAAGAATTAAATTCGTTACGCATAACAAATCGAATAATATTTTTACTTTTATAATTATAACTTCATATCAACTCACAGTATTGTTGATAAAAGAAATAAAAAGAATAACATTTATCTACTTACTTATAAACAAAATAAAACATACTCATTTAATACACACTCAGTAAAATTACGCAAATACCGAATACTCAAAACCTTTTATTGCAGAATGGTTTCCTTATTAAACTGAGAAGGGGGGGTACAACGTACCTTGTTGTGAAAGTATCGATTATATCTGGTTTTTGCACGGAAATTTACAAAAAAATACTTGTTTTTATACCAAGTGCGTCAATACGAATAATGAATGAGAAAAATCTTATATGGTCCTTCGTGTTAATGAAAATAAATTTTTTGCAAATAAATTTCGTTTTTTTTATTAAGAGAACATATGCATATGAAGTAGTATTACATAAGTACTTTCGTTCATTAAGAACCCGTGCGACGATAGCAACAAACATCCCAGCAACAAACTTTTCCTATCTACTTTCTTAGCTGATATCTTCCTTATTATTAGAGATAACGAAAAACTAAATGCACAACTTGAAAGCTTGATTTTTTTTCTATCTAAAACCGGGTTTTCGTCTGCCGATAAGTTGATATTAAAATCAATAAAAAATGAAGAACACCGCTCTGTACTTAAAATAGCTCAAAATTACCAAACTTCAAGGCCTTGTGCAATTGTTATAAAACCGAATTTTAAAAAACTGTTATCACAGTCTCAGAAAGAGCGCACCTTCAACTATCTTAATCCGGGATTTCGTCGGTCTATATCTACCGGCGTCATGCTTAAATCACCCTTAATATCCATCCCTACACGCAGAAACGCTTAAATACTCTTCCTCTAAACTACTTTCTTATTTGATAGGGGGAAAACTACAGAAGTATATGTATCTTATCGAAAATTTTCTGCTCTTTCTAATGGTGTATAACACGTGGCACAAATACGTTTTTTCCAAAAACTTCTAAATTCATACGTTTTAGCCATTTTTAAACCTTGTTCGGGTCGATAACTTTCTTATATGACCAGGAGAAAACTCTAGAACTACATCTATCTTATCGAAAATTTCCTACTCTTTCTAGCGGTGTATAACACGCGGCGATCACGTGCTTGCACAAGTACGTTTTTTTACCAAAAACTGCTAAATTTATATGTTTTAGCCATTTTTAAACCATGTTCGGGTCGATAACTTTCTTATATAACCAAGAGAAAACTCTAGGACTATCTCTATCTTTTCGAAAATTTCCTGCTCTTTCTAGTGGTGTATAACACGCGGCGGTCACGCGCTTGCACAACTACGTTTTTGACCAAAAACTGCTAAATTCATACGTTTTAGCAATTTTTGAACCTTGTTCAGTGATAACTTTCTGATGTGAGCAGGAGAAAATTCATATATCCATTTTATCGAAAATTTTCTGCGCTTTCTACTTGCGTACAACACATGGCGATAGCGCGTTTGCACAAACACGTTTTGCGCCAAAAACTACTAACGTTAAGTCAAAATCATTATGAACGGTTTATGGAAAAATCCCTAAAATGGGTTTAAAGATTTAAATTTTGTGCAATTTTTGACGTAGATTTCAAATTTTTTCCGCTATTTTTAACCCTTTAACGGTTAGTGGCTTTTATAGAGACCACTTGTCAATAAGGTCAAATAGCTGCATTACCACAACTAAATCGATTCTAAAAACGAAAATTAATTGACCAGTTAAAGGGTTAAAAAATAATTTGTCCGTTAAACGATTTAACGAGTTATGACGTTATCGATATTTTTTTCAAATGGCAATCCCCCATTTTTATTATGGAATATGATAGAATTTTTTTTTCTGAATCATGTACAGGGTGGGCAAATTTGGGTGTTATTATAGGCTATCTCAGAAACTATAAGAGATACGAAAAAAGTAGGTGCCATGTCCCGGTCTCTTTTTTCGAGACTAAGCCAATCCCGCAAACACCAAACCTCCATCTTCTTTTGTTTTTAAGTTATAGCCAAAAAGTCAAATTTTTGTGATTTCAAAAAATGCTCATATTTCGTTTATTTTTAAAATTAGAGAAATAGGGTTGATACGTTCTTATGGCACTTTTTTAAGTAGAATATACTGACGTTGAAAAATTTTAAAAATATTTAATGATTTTTGAGATACAACACAAAGTTGTATTTTTTTAAATACAAATTATACTTAATTATGATGTTAATGAAAAGAGCATATTTTTAGCTTTCCAATGATGTATCGCATGTATGGTGTATTTGCGGAAAATAAGCGTTAATTTTCAATTCCAAAATAGTAAGCGGTAATGTTTAAAATTTTGATTATAGTAGGCGGGTTCGGACCGTAATTACTACCTAATTGTTATATGGTTTTACACGAATATGACAGAAAGTTGGTCTTGTAAATTTTTCAGTGTCTTATCCCTGACTTTGTTCACCAATAAAATATTATTTGTAGAAAAAGTTTATTTATTAAAAATGCAAGAAACGTATTAATTAATGAATAATTAAATATGAACAATAACTTCAGGAACTAAACAATCACAGACTGTGTCATCTTCTTCTACTAAACTTACTGGTTGTAAGGTTAGAACAGTTAGGTATCAATGAATGAAATCTTCGGTAGTATCTTCCCAGTTTTCCCCAACCATGAGATTTAGAAGTTTTTTCATATTAGCAACCTTTTCTTTTGAAATTGGGTGAGATAGAGGAAGATTAGGGATCATAAACTGGGCAGCGGACTTTCCATTAAAACGATGTTTATATGGGATATGGAGCCTTATCTATCATTTTCAAAGAGTCATTTTTTAATTTTATCGCTTTATGTATTTAAAGATAATGAAGAATTTTTAAGCGGGAAACTCGTGTCGAAAAATTCATGAATGAAATAATCAGCAAACTCACGTTACTATAGTAACTAAGTGGCATTTAACGTTTTCCTCGCCTACTACAATTAAAATTTTGTATATTAATCTTTATTATTTTAGAATTCAAAAATAACGCTTATTTTCCCCAAATACACCATGCGTGCAATACATCATTGGAAAGCTAAAAATATGCTCTTTTCAGTAACACCATAATCTACTATAGTTTGTATTTAAAAAAATACAACTTAGTGTTGTATCTCTAAAATGATCAAATATTTTTAAAAATTTTCAACGGCAGTATATTCTACTTAAAAAAGTGTCTTAAGAATGTATCAACCCCATTCCTCTAATTTCAAAAATAAACGAAATATGAGCATTTTTTAAAATCACGAAAATTTGACTTTTTGGCTATAACTTAAAAACAAAAGAAGATAGAGGTTTGGTGTTTGCGGGATTGGGTTAGTCTCGAAAAAAGAGATCGGGACATGGCACCTACTTTTGTCGTATCTCTTATAGTTTCTGAGATAGCCTATAATAACACCCAAATTTGCCCACCCTGTACATTCAATTTTCGAGAAATATTACTTTAAAACTTAATTACTTCAAATGTATATAAATGATAAAAATAGCAGTAGCCATGAGTAACTATGGTAACCAATTATTTTCAACAATTCCCTGTGTGTCAAAAATTGATTTAGTAGCTTCTTGAAGTGTGGTGGCGAGCCATCTTGTTGGATAACTGCCGTTGGAATTGAGTTGGGTCAACATTAGCAGGATGGAAGGAATGACATAGTTTTTAAAGAGTTTAAACATCTTTTGCGGATTTCTGTGTGCGAGTTTCTTGGTTAATTTGGATTTGGGTAACCCAATACCTACAATTTTGTCTGTTGACTTGTTCACTTAATGTAAATGTTTCCTCGTCGGAAAAAATTATGTTTTTGACAAAGTCTACGTCATGGTTGCAAAATTGTTGTTGCGAAAACTACGATTCATTGCTCATGAATGAGGCTTACTTTATAGGAATGATATTTTGCGGGTTTTATAATTTTGTGAACCGTTGATTTACTAATGTCCAAATTAGACCCAATACGTACAATAACATGAGGGTTTTCTTGCCCAGCCAAAACCTTGTTTTGTTGAATCTCCGTTGAAACATTCGGTAGGCCAGACTTCGAGAAATGCTTCGAGAGATGCCTATTTTTGATGACATTTTGTTCGGTCTCGAGAAGAAGCAAAATAAATAATCCAGCCCATTTGTTATTAAAAACTAAAAATAATCTTTGCAAGAAGCATTTTGACCTTAGCACCTAAGAAGGAAACTAATGTTTTATAAATGTACTAAATAACCTAGCAAAGCAAGACGTCATAACTCGTTTAAAAATGGCGGAAAAAATTTACTAGTATATCTACTAGTAACTCTACTAGTATGGGATGTAATCACAAAGTTTCCTGATTTTTCAGCGTATTACGCTGGTGAGGAAAAAAACTGGGGTTGCCATTTGAAAAAATTAACTTTTCGAAATACGGAAATTTTACGCACATTCCTGACCAGCCTGTATAACTTAAAAAAAAATTTTCAAAGATTATGTAAGCTATTTTTATTAAAATTTTGTAAATCCTTTTTGTATTTTTATAAATAATTGTTGTTAAATTAAAGCGTATAATTGTTATTAAAAGACACCATTAGAAAGAGCAGAAAATTTTTGATAAGATAGATATGCTTCTAGAGTTTTCTCCTGGTCATATAAGAAAGTTATCGACAAGAACAAGATTTAAGAATGGCTAAAACGTATGTATTTAGCAGTTTTTGGCCAAAAATGTACTTGTGCAAGCGCGTGGTCGCCGCATGTTATACACCACTAGAAAGAGCAGGAAATTTTCGATAAGATAGATATACTTCTATAGTTTTCCCCCATCAAATAAGAAAGTTGTTTAGAGGAAGAGTATTTAAGATAGATTAAAATGATTAAGATAGTGCAGGAGCGCTCTTTCTGACTGTGATAACAGTTTTTTAAAATTCGGTTTTATAACAATTGCAGAAGTTTGGTAACTTTGAGCTATTTTAAGTACAGAGCGGTGTTCTTCATTTTTTATTGATCTTAATATCAGACGGATTTTATCGGCAGACCTAAACCCGGTTTTAGATAGAAAAAGATTCAAGCTTTCAAGTGGTGCATTTAGTTTTTCGTTATCTCTAATAATAAGGAAGATATCAGCTAACAAAGTAGATAGGAAATTACGGGTAAAAGTTTGTTGCTGGGAGGTTTGTTGTTATCGTCGTTAAGATAAGATTTAAAGTCTACTCAACAGAAAAAGGTGCTGAAGTAGCTCCTTAGCAATATCAATATTATACTCAGATATAGTCTATCGTGTAATACGACTCAATTTAAAAAAGATCCGTCTGAGAAGAATCATTTTATTGTTCCAATTTGGGGTAGGTTACGTTCGGGGAGTATGTTTTAAAACTGTGAATATTAGGAAATTCTATTCAAACATTAAAAACACTACATTTAAACAATTTCTAAAATTATAAATCAATCTTTACAATTCTTCAATTCTAATGAAGTATCGAAATCGAATTATTCAAAGTAAATGACGTAAAAGACTTTCAGGAATTTTAGTTCAAAAAATATCATGTAGTCGGTATATGACTCAATGATAAGAATCCGAAGAATCACAAGTCAGAAATATAATAAAAATTAGTTTCAATAACAACTACTCTCTATCTGAAATGCAAAATATTTACTTCAAAGTCCACAACTCTCAAATTAACAGGCTTGTCTATCCTCATTTTTTTTATTATTGATTAAAACCAGCTACATACATTAAAACATGTTGCATCATTGCTAAAGTCTTTTCCATATTCATCGTTGAAATGTAATACGAAAAAGGTTAAAAAACACAAGATAATTATTGGCTTAAACGATGTATATTTTTTATTTATTTCGGTGCGACACGTGTTTCGCCAGTATGGAATCAACAGGACGACGTCAGTGGTTCAAGATGTAATAAAAAGCGAGTAATAATTTTTCGAGCGGCATGACAGGAGAAGAACTAATGTCAGAACTCTGAAAATATCCGGATGTTAATTTTGAAAAAACTGTAAGTACTCGTTGTATAAGCTTCGCGCTATACACGTGCTCTTCAATTCCACGTTGTTTTACAAATAAATTTTTTCTAATTAATTAAGCCAAAAAAGTTTTTAAGTTAAAATGAAATTTAAGTGAAAATATATGCCAAAACGTTACAATTAAATTTTGAATTTTGAAAATGGAATTAAAACTATAAAAATTAAACTTTGAATTGAGTCACACCATCTCACTATGGCGACCTTTGGTGTTAAAGTTCTGACATTAACTTCTTCTCCTGTCATGCCGCTCGAAAAATTATTACTCGCTTTTTGTTACATCTTGAACTACTAACGTCGTGACTGTTGATGCTATCATACTGGCGAAACACATGTCGCACCGAAATAAATAAAAAATATACATCGTTTAAGCCAAGAATTATCTTGTATTTTTTAACCTCTTTCATGTTACATCATGGTTGAATTCATATTTACATTAACATAACGGCGAAATTCACTAAGAAACAAAGTAATTTTCCGAGGGAATCTAATTTCAGCTTAATTTATAATAAATCTTGAAGCACTTTCCTTTTAAGTCGCTGATGCAAATTTTTGAAATCCAAATTAAAATTAGTAGCACTGGAACACTTATTGATGTTTTAGTAAAATTTTTACACCTCTTATAAAACATTCAGTAGTCATTATGTTTAGTTCAGCGTCAAGTTGTTCACTGCGAATAAACCATGACGCATCTACTGCCGTCCGTAGAATTTTTGTTTTGTAGAGATTTTATTTTCTGAATATTTGTTGCGGAAGCATTACTCCATACCGGGCTAATATAAGATATCTTCATTTTAAATCTAAAGTTATATATATTGCTCTGCGTTTTAAACATTCAATAATCAACTCTCTTACTAAAAACCGTTATAAATACAACATCACTCTTTTTTTTTGTCTTCAACAATAAAATATATAATCACATCATCAATACCAAAAATATTATCTAAAAAGAGGAATTGAGTGGTGTGTATGAGATCCAATGCCCAGACTGTAACATGATATACATAGGTCAAACTAGTCTATTAAATTAAGACTAGAACTAACACTAGCACTATCACTAGAACTAACACTAGACCTAGAACTAGAAACTTTTGGGTTAAGCCGTGCATATTTTGAAAAAAATGTTTGAAGTTTCGGATGCCATGTTGCAACCTTCTTCAGCAACAAGTTCGAAATCATGACTTAGTGTTAGTTCTAGTGATAGTGCTAGTGTTAGCTCTAGTCTTAGTTTAATTAACATTGGCCGTGAAAGTCTTCGTACTAACATATAGCTAAACCTTCTTCAGGCGTTTTTAACTATATAAAAAATACTAACCATAATGTAACTTTAAAAAATGTAAAACTACTAAAAAACATTAAAAAATCTAAAGAGCTTGATTTATACGAAGAATACTATACTGGGTGTTCAGAAATTGGCGGATAATCTACACGTAGCGACATTCTTTACAAAAAAATACGATTTCGGACGGATGTTCATAACATAAATATCAGACATAAGAATACTATCACAATCCCGGTGCACAGATGTGCAATATTCAAACGATGCTTTTCCTACAATGTTTCAAAATTGTACAATGAATGTCCGTCCGAAGTTAAAGCGTTATCATGTTGCTCCTTCAAACGTAAGTTGCGTGATGTGCTTTACAAACAACAAGACTCGGGACAGAGATGAGAAGGCTATCACAAAAGAGAGAGCGCTGTGTGATAAGGACGTGTGTGCAGGGTTTTTGTTACTTTTTATTGATATTTTAGTTTTATTTGATTAAAAGTACTAATATAAGTGGTTTGTCGTTCTTTCCTCTTTTTATTTTTTTTTATTTTCTGCTTAGTGAATTTTGTTTCTGTTGTTTTTTTTTTCTTGCTTTTTGTTCGATTAGCTCATAATTTTTACCGGACCACCAGGAAGAACAGGGAGCATATAATAGTAACCTGATGGCGGTTCCAATTGGTCAAGGATTAATTAAGTTTAGCAATATATAGGGTGTATCTGAATGACGTGCCCAAACTTCAGGGGGTGATTCTTTAGGCAATTTTAAGGGTACTTTCTCATATAAACTATCAGCGATTTCGACTCCCCTGCGGAGCTACGCCCCTTCAAAAATGGCGAAAAATTTTGGTTTATTTTATTTTTCCGCAAACCATTAACACCAAGAAAAGGAAATTTGGGAAATATGTTTAGCTTAGAATAGGGCATGTTTCGAGCCTATTTGTACTTTCAATCTTCCCTTCTAAGTTACTAAACATAACCACCCCCGTTCAATTTTTGTCTAGATCTTTTTTATGACGATGATAAATACATTGGAAATATTTTATTTAGATAGACGAAAATATTCTAAAACTTTTTTGCCTCTCTAATGTTCTTCGAAAAGTTAATCGTTTCTGAGAAAAAAATTAATTAAGCAAACACTAACTGTTAAGCTGTAGCGTTGTTAATCGAAAGTTGGAATGAATTTTTAAAGAAAAAATCTTAGCAGGCTTAGCAATCTTTGTCAGAAATATTTTTGACGTTTAAATGTCAGTGGTTTTCTTACTATTATTATTGTTTTATTTAAAATTTTTAAACGTCTAGTGAACGAGCGTAAATGCGGTAGAACTTTATTCATAAATTAATTTGAAAAACAATAATAATAGTAAGAAAACCACTGACATTTAAACGTCAAAAATATTTCTAACAAAGGTTGCAAAGCCTACTAAGATTTTTTCATTAAAAATTCATTCCAACTTTTGATCGACAACCCCGTTGATGAACGGGCAGTGTTAAAATTAGTCGTTTTTGGAAAAATTTTAGAGAGACAAAAAAGTTTTAGGATACTTTCATCTACATATGTAATTTTTTTTTAATGTATTTACCCTCTGCATAAAAAAATTTTAGCAAAAATGTAAAGGGGGTGGTTACGTTTAGTAGTTTAGAAGGATAGGTTGAAAGTACAAATAGTTTGAAAACGTGCCCTACTACCAGTTAAACATATTCCCCAAATTTCGTTGTCCTAGCGTTTATGGTTTTTGAGAAAAAAAAATTAAAATAAAATTTTCCGCCATTTTTGGAGGGGTGTAGCTCCTTAGGGGAGCCCAAGTCGCCCATAGTTTATATATCAAAGTACCCTTAAAATTTCCTAAAGACTCACCCCCTGAAATTTGGGCATGTCATTCAGATACACCCTGTATATATTATAGTAAATTGTATAAATCATAAAACCAATAAAGCGATTATTATTATTATTAATTGTAAAATGTTGTACCATGCTTCATATGTCTTCATGAGGTTCTCAAAGTTCGGATAATTAGTCCATAAATAATCATTAATATTCAATATCTGTTGATAGATAAGTTGTAATTTAGAATAAAAAGAATTTTGATAACTATTTTTTTGTTAAAGTTATTTTCTTTAGTTTTAAAGTTCGTTTTTAACATTTATTCATTATTATATCTTCATGAAAAACACATTTGGCAACATCGTAGAACAACATTTTAACATTAAGATTTTCGATTCAGAGTCGGTCGTAGAAGTTGCTACGTGTAGATTATCCGCCAATTTCTGAACAGCCTGTATATCTTTATACAATGATAAAAATAATAATTTAATGAACGATTTTACTGACCCTAATATACACAGTAGTCACACTAGTTCGACAACAATTTCCACAATTAAAAAACATTTTATGTTGTATGTAGTTAGATACTTAATGGTATATCCAGAGATGGTAGAGATACATTGATGTGCCAAGGTTGTCTACAGAAACACCATGATATGGATTAATGCATTATATAGATATCAATGCTTTATATAGAGATATATAGAGCGCAGCAATGTGTATCCTTCCTAATACGTGAGATATACAATAACAACATGGGAAGCAATAAATGAGCGAATGACCGAGATGAACCTAACACTATATGGGCAAAAAGTCACAATGCTAGGAGTATACTCTGTAAACGACGATACAATGGTTTCTAAAAAAGACCAATTCTATGAACAACTAAATAGTGAGATAGGAAGAGATAATATGAATGAGAGCACCGGTAAATACCAATATGATAAAATTGTAGACCCACACAGGGAGGAAACGCTGGACTACTTTATAAACTCTACAGCCAAAAAAGCTCTGGTATACACAGAAAACCATCAAGTTAGGGTACCATATTGATGGAACGAAAAATAGAGGATGCAATAAGAAACAAAAGAGAAAAATATATTTGGCATCAAAATTAAACGAGCATAAACTACAATACATACATATACAGGTGGACAAAAAGTAATGAAAACTGGGGAATTCTAATATCCCTATGACAAAGTAATACAAGAAACCTAATATCATCATAATCACGCTCAGAAAATAGGACGACTACTTTAAGCAGTTACCAACAGAACAAAACCCAACTTCTTGAAGAAACAAGAAAGAAAAAAGATAGTATAGCTACAACGGCACCCTCAATTAGATTAACCATAAAAGACCTAGAGAAAGCGTGTAAATCCTTAAAAAATGTAGAAGCACTGGTGCTCGGAAATATCCCAACAGAGCTTATAAAATGTGGAAGAGCAAAATTGTACCAACAATATGAGACACTAGTCCAAAACTACCGTAACGTTAATTCAATCCTGTTAGAGTAGAATACAGCCTTTATATCCATCACACTTAATAAGGGAGGCAGGCAACACCGGTACACTATAAATATAAAGTATATGACAAGATTCTGGCCAACAAAATAGACCTACTTAGAGATATAGAAGCAGAGGAATGTGTCGAATGGCTTCCACATCACTAAAATATTCAAAGCAAGGATACTTCCGATCCACAAACTTTACTCAAAATATATCTACAGCAAGCACTAAAACGGAAAGCGGAATCATCTGCACATTTTGTTTCGTCAACAACCAAAATAGTAAAAATAGTAATCGCTTAAGACCAGCAAGATATGAAACATATGACCAGGAAGCTCATAAACAAATACGGTGAATTAATTGAAGTTAAAATACGAAAAACCTTTTGACCTAAATGATGTGAAGCGCATAAAATGTTCCAGCTAATACAAATATTTGGCAGCACAAATAACCAGCCATAGAACACCAGACTGTATCTACGGCATAAGAGTAAACCAGCTAAGATGGTACGAACATATACAAAGAATGTCAACATGGAAGCTATCAAGACAAATATGGCAAAGGACGCCCAACGGAAGGAGAGGAAGACCGGGGATAAGTTCGAGAGAGTGAATAGATAAGGAACTTAAAGAAAGGGAAATATAAGACGATTATTGGACGAGCATAGAAAAGTGGAAGACGGGTTGTAAACAGCTGTATCCATTTCTATATATATCCATTTCTCCCATATATCCATTTCTGTAGTGATGATATAACCAGATACTCATTACCATATCAATATTACCCCTATGTTATGTATTATCCCTATATATGTACAATGTGAAATACATTATCGAATAATGTATAATCTAAATAAGATTAAGATAGATATTCGTTGTTATATCGGTGCTTTGTGCAGATATACATCGAGTGTATACCCAAAGACGTCAAGAATCGTTTACTGTAGCAATGTTACATTACAAACATTTTTCTTTTCTTTGTCGACAAGCGCTCTATTCTGGTCATCCATTATCTTAAGGCTACCACCAGTTTTTCGACCTTTTGTTTATTTTGTATAATCTATGGGCCTTTGGAGAGGATGAACCTTTTCATACGTTCTGTTATTTTTCCTCCATTAGATATATATTTTTTTAATTAGTTCTCATCTAGTTCTCTAACACGTATATCCTCCTATGCTACCATCTCGTTTTAGCAGCAAACTTTGACTTGAATTAATCCAGTATTTTTGGAGGTTTAGTGCTTTGTTACTGATATCTGTCTTTTACTGCCTTAAGATTACAATTTTCCACTTCTATACCTTATTGAATGTTTTTTCTCTTGAAGCTAGTGTTATAAGATGATACGTTACGGTGAAATATATTTTTATTTTGAAGAAGTTAAAAACTCAAAACAGAAAATGCAGGTTATGTTTAGTTAAGATTATTTGCGACCGAAGCGATGCAATTAGTATTTTCTCGTCTAGTTACTATAAAAACCGTTCATATCAAAAATAGCAGAATAAGTTTACCTTGAAAAATTGAAATCGCACAACATCAAATTGCTGGCATCTTTAGAGACGCCAGTAAATTCTTGAACTCTCGTTTCCACATCGTCCAGTTTTCCCTAATTAAAGGTGCCTACGACTACTTAATATCTAGAAAAATGCTATTCAAAATCAACTATACAGTATGTCCACGAAAAAGGTGTTGAATAGGAAAAACCTTTTTATTTTTAATTTTATCGAAAAAAGTTAATCTTGATAAAAAATTTGGCTAGTTCTTAGAGTAAGATTGGGATAAAAACATTTAACATATTTTATACGCAGTGTTCAGAAAATTGAAACACTTTAAATGGTACAAGAGTAAAATACATTTATTTGAGAAGATAAGGAAATAAGTTACTAGGAAAAGTTGTTCAAAAGTAAAAGGTAGTCTCTAATACCAATTTTCGAAAAAATCGGTCTACTTTTATTTATTTGTGATCATTAAATTTATTTTAATATCAATTAACTAATTCCAAATCAATGCACAAGTTGTAAGTTTATATACTCAAACACACTACCACCCTGTTGGGCACATACCTTTAAACGAACATGTAATTCTAACCTCACGTAAAGATATTATCTCGGCACTATATCGGCATCTCTAATCGCATCCTTTAATTGATCAGCATTTATTTGAGGTGCGCGATATACAATTTGTTTCAATCGGCCCAATAAGAAAAAATCCATTAATGTTAAATCTGGACTCCTAGGAGGCCACTGAACTGGTCCATGTCTCTCAATCCAGTGGTCTGGAAATTCGAATTAGAGTCACTTCAATATCGTGTATGTTGCGAAGCCACAATACCATTGGTCGAAAAACTTGATTCATCAGAAAACATTATTTTCTTATGAAATGCTCTTTCCATACTGCCAACTCACAAACAAAAATCTAAACACACTAACAAGTTTCCATAATTCAAGAAACTGTATCAAATTGTAGTGGATGGATGCGTTATTGCAAGCAAAAGTGTCGAATTATTCCAGTTAGACTTCAGACTAAAAAAGCTAATCTGGACCTACAAGGACCTAACACCAAAAAAAGTTTGAAATTGGTTTAGTCAAAGTCTAAACATAACAAACATTTCAGAAATTAAGTTAATCGAATTAATCGAACGGTAAGATAAAGTCAGTAAATATACTGAGAGGATTCTAGATTGCATGAAGAAGTTTTGCTAACATGATTAAACATGATTAAAAACTGGCTTGTATGGATGTATCTTGTTGTGTTTTAATATCTTCTGAATTTGCGACTTTTTAACAAATTGGACATTTTCAGCTCTTCTTCTTAATGATAATTTCGGGTGTTCCTCTACTGAATGTAATACCAACAAAGTGCTTGCATTATTTTCATCGTATCTCTTCTTTTTTCTAGGTATTCGCAATAATGACCCAGTGCTTAAAAACTTCAAAATTATTTCACGGCAAGTAGTCTCAGAAACATACATATCGACGATAACATTTATAGTGTTTCCCATAACATTGCACCAAGTAATTTTTTTGCTGTAAAATAAGTATTTTAAGCTGACAATACTACAGCTCATAAAGTATAAAAGCTAAGTGTCTATAAAGCTTGTCACTATCAACGCCTACTAGTACAAAAATGAGCACGTATAAATAAAAGTAAGCCGATTTTTTCGAAAATTGGTATTAGAGACTACCTTTTACTTTTGAACAACTATTCCTAGTAACTTATTTTCTTACCATCTGAAATAAAAGCACTTTACTCTTGTACCATTTGAAGTTTTTTCAATTTTCTGAACACCGCGTATGAAATATGTTAAATGTTTCTATCCCAATCTTACTCTAAGAACTAGCAAAATTTTTTACCAAAATTAACTTTTTTCGATAAAATTAAAAATAAAAAAGTTTTTCCTATTCAACACCTTTTCCGTGGACATACTGTATATTGAATCTTATGATGTATCTATTAAAAAAACTTAGTTAACAATTGAAAGGCATAGATTAAACATAATAACAAACTATAAATGAAACCTTTAAAATTGTTTAATATATTTAACACATATTTTTTAAATGATATTAGTTTTTGTTCAATAAACCTCGAGAACTAAGCACACATTTATTTAATCCTGTTAGGTTTTTACCTCGAAATCATCCTTGTAAGATTTCGCAAAAATATATTACTCACAATAATCTTAAAGTATACCTTAGATAGTAAAGAAGACCTACAGCTTAAAAAGTTAAAGCTACTTACGTAATTTTGAATCCTTTGTCCTGAAAAACACATCAAAAAAAGTCCAACGACCCAACCCATTCCGTGTATAAAGGAAATTAACGTCGGTGCCTTTAGAGATTATTACAATGATTGTCTAAAATATAATACAAAATCAAAACTTACCACTAAAAATGCTAATAAACTACTTCCAATACAAATACTGTATGTAATTAAAACTGGTGTTGTCACAAATTGAAAACAATCGTTGGTTTTTTGAGCCAAGCTTAAATTTGAATAATTAATTAGAAATAAATTATTACAATTAACACCATCATCTCACTCTATAATATAAATATGATACATGGCGCAAATTCTAAATCTAGCAATATGTTCATCAACGTCATTATCTCGAAAAACTTGTCGCAACATATCATTTAAATGTTCTATTCTTAAAATTAGATATTCAAAAGCAGCAACGCTACAAATAACTAAATGCATAGCCCCAGCACAAGCCATCGAAACTGTATACATTTCGATAAAAAGGTGCAGATAATAATTGAATCCCCTTCTGACATTGTACGGAAAATAGGATCGTAAAGCGAATCCACATTGAGCATCTCTTTGAACGATTTCCGTGCTAATAATGCAATTTTCGTAGTCGTGGGCAGCATAATAACAAACCGAAAGTGCCCCGAATATTCCATACCAAACCAGACCCAAAGAAAAAATGTTTATTAGCTTCGAAATGGCTTTTGTTGCCTTTGGATAACCGAATTGGCGAAAATCTTCCAAGTGTTTGAATAGAGATATTAAATCGTCTTGTTGATAAAAAAGAGCAATGTAAATAAAAATGATGTTTAAGTAACCAACTGTTACTAAAAGATCTTCAGCAACATCACGAAGAGGAGTTTTCTCATCTATTATTTTAAGGATCTGAATTAAAAAAAAAGTTTTCTTTGTTTTTAACTTACCCCGAATGCTAACTACTAAATTAAAAACAACACCAAAAGCGTAATAAACCATTAAAGCGAATTTAGCTTTCATTTTTAAACGATAAAGTTTATCCTTTTTATCCGGCGGCCAAATGCCTGTAAATTTTAAAGTTTTATGCATGGTGGTTAAGAAAACCATTTTTGATGATTAGGAAAGTGTAAAGTTCGAAAGTTTTAAAAGTAATAAAGAACATTCCACTTTGAACTTAACGTTTTATAGTGCGTTTAATGGATGTAATATTCATAAACGAACTTGTGGCATCTGCTTCTGGTGATTAATCATGTAAATTGCTCTTTATTGTTGATATACACTACAAGGGGTAAATTACGATTAATTTACATTTAATAAAATAACATGTAAAAAGAACATATGTATAGTTTAGTGTTAATTTAAAAAAAGTTATTCATAAAATATGTTGTACTAGTTGTAAGGAGTTTCGATGATTTTTATTTTCTGTAAATAATCTTAATCGGTAAACCATTCATGGATTTTAAAACAGCATCATTTCCTAATTTTGGTGTATGAGGATATTCTGCTGGATACAGTTGAAAATTTCTAATAACATTTGCCACTGTTGTTTTGATGTTCATTAATGCATATTTCATCCCTAAAATAAAGATTTAGTAAATACTACGTTTTACTGGTTTAAAGTTTTATAAGAACCAATGCAATTTCTTGGTCCGGCGCTAAAGGGGATATACGCAAAGGGATGTCTTTTGGAGATATTTTCCGGTAGAAAACGATCCGGGTCGAATCTCTCCGGACAAGGAAATAGTTCGGGATCTCGATGTTGCGCATATGGATGAAATGAAATCGTAGTTCCCTTCGGTATTCTCAAACCATCTGAAAATAAAATATATAGAAATATTTTCATATAGTAGTATTTTATATCCTTATGAGTAATTTATCGTGAGTTATCTAGAACTATCTCCTGTTACTTGAATAATTCATTTTTTACATATTTTTCTTACCCAATGAAATATCTTCAGTCATTTCTCGTTCGTATAAAGGAACGGTTGGATACAATCTAAGAACTTCTTTAATTACCCTCTCAAGATAATCCATTTCTTTTAAATTATTTAGCGTAATTTCTTCGTTTACATCATCACCAACAAAATCATGTATTTCATCCAAGATGTTTTGTTGAACTTCAGGATATTTTGCAAGCGTATATAAAGCAAAACCCATAGCCGACGCAACGGTATCATGACCCTTAAAATCATTTAAACATATTAAAAACAAAAAAGAAATGGAATAATAAGTCTTACAGCAAACAAGAATGTATCTACTTGCCACCTCATTTCTTCATTAGTTAATCCAGGATGTTCTAAAAGAGTATCCAAAAACACCCGTTTCTTTTTAATACCCATATCATCCACGTCCTCCTCTTGAGAAACGCCTTGTAAAAAATCTTTGCGCTTTTTAATAACTTCATCGGTGATTTTATGCATTAAATTTACAGAATCGTATAATATTTTATGATCTTTAGTAAACCTAAAGAATATATCGAAACGATTCAAAATTGAAAAAAATCTGCTCATATAGATTTCTAAAAAAGCATGGACCGCGTTCATATAAGAAGTATCGCCATGATGTTGATATTTATGGTTAATACCCATAGAAGTTTCTGAAAACGTATTATTTGAATAAAATCGATAAAATTGTAATAATAAATTTTACCACACAAAGAATCCATTGCATATAAAGTAAGAATTGGACAAATATCAACAGTTTTTCCAGACTCCTTTTTAAGATTGTCAATAAGAATTTGTAAGTTTCTATGAAAAACGTCTGAAAATTGATCTAGGATTTTTAAATGGAATGCTGGAGTTAAGATTTTTCTGTATTTTTTCCACACTTCCCCTGCAATCTTATTAATTAATTTTTTTAATTATTTATTATTCATTCATTTCACCTGTTCCATTAATTAATCCTTCCCCCAACCACGGCTTATACAAATCATACCCAGTAGATTTCTTAATTAACACATTCGATGATAAGAAATATTCCACTTTATCAGGATCTGTTACAAACAAATTCAAACGAAAAGGACCTTGCCATACACGAACTAATCGTCCATATTTCATTACCATTTGTTGAGAAGCTTCGAATAATTCTTAAAAAAAATAAATTTTTATATTTTATTAATAATTTTTAAAAAAAATGAGATTAATAGTTGTTTATGTATCAAGATCGAAAAGTTTATCTTTACGTGTAACAGAATTGTAATTTAGTAAATACAGCGATGATGTAAATTTTATTATTCTCTATTGTTGTTTATTATTGTTTATTAATATTAAAAGTTTTAGAGGTAGAATTACATTGAAATGTTTAAACACGAAATCCATTCAAGTTAGATAAACTGAAAATTGAACTATACTTGTTCTCATTGCGCATATTAATTGAGTGAAAGATCTACGATTTCTGATTGAAGCTGGACATCGATTTCCTTCCCAAATTGCTTCTAGGAAGAATTAGACATCAATAAAGAAATAATAATGATAGGAATATTACAGTGAGTTTGTTTCTCCAGATTGCGAAATCAATTTTTGTTAGCCACAAAGAATTTTCGTTAGAACAGCAATACTAGATAGCCTAACATCTCTAATTGGTGATTATTTTCATATCAATATAAAACCAAAACGAAACCTAGTTAACCAACCTTTTTGTATCTCGATCATGGCATTATTTACTTGCCGAAATTATCTCACAGGAATACTCTACCCTTACGAATACAGTAATACTCTGCAGACCTACCGCACTTATTTGCAATTACTCCAGAAGATATGTTTTAATCCGTGCGTAGCAATATGTTGGAAATTATATGTCACATAAACCTTTACTGTTATTCTTTGGCAAGCTAAGATTCTAGATGTTCTATTTCCAAACGTCCCACTTCTAATATTTTTAGCATCTTATTCCGCTAGATACGACCTCATTGCTTTTGACGACTTGGACGAATGGCAGTTTCTAGTAATTCATCAGCGTTTTGAATAATGATAATACATCAATGTCATACGGAAAAGGCCAGCACATCTTCGACGGTTATATGAATAATTTGGTATTCTTTCTGACAACTTCTTTCAACCCAACCCAATTCTCTAAAAGAAAGGCAAAAGAGTTGTCTGCAGAAGAAATAGAACACAGAAGAAATATTAGGAGAACTATCTTACTATTTCTCTTGATTATTGACTCCTATTCTTAATAGAAAATGTGTTGAAGGACACTGTATATTATACATGTCAAATTAGCAATTAAAGCCTCTAAGGATGATGTAAATAATCTATATTTTGTCAGATACTGATAGACAAGAAATCAAAGCAGCAAACACTTCCGATCTTTGGAATCCCGATGGTAACGGCATAGACTTAATTCTTATAACACTGCACAACAAAGATATTATATTTTGCTACAAACAATTTAACAATATAGAAAATAGAGCGCAAAGTGACAAATTGTCACCAATTAGAGCGATTTTTGATCATTTTATTCAAAATGGCAAGTCATACTATGTGGCCAGTGCCGTTAAGTATATAACCTTTAAAATATGGTTTAAAAATATTTGCTCAAAAGAAAAAAACCTATTATTGTCTAAGCATAGAAGTTTACGTCAGTATACAGCACATTTCCGAAAAAGTAATATAAACCAGAAAGTATAGTTGAAGAAAACGCAATATCACATTCGATAATTGTTTTACCAGTTATCCTATAATGATCAACTTATTCAAAAAGCATCATCTTATATCGGTTGGAACAATCATACAAAATAAGCGACAAGTACCACACGTTTTTCCAAATATATAACTGGAAACGTTCGCAGTTCAACGTTTCTGAAACAGATAACTTAGAAACATCTGTGACAGATAATTTACGGATATGGAAAACAGTTATTGTTGAAGATGTCCTTGTTATTGCTTCTAAATGTACATCTGTAATTATTTACATTCTAATGATTATATGTCACATAAACTTGCCGAATGATCCGATCCGTTTCACACGTTTTCCTTTGGCAACTTAAGAACCTGCATGCTCTATTTTGGATGATACAGCTCAATTGCTACAGCAGGTGTAACTTGGTTTATAGTTTATATCACCACTCAAAATGTCATGAACTCTTCTCGCTTTTATAGAACTTTTATAGAATTGTGCGAAACTAATGAAAATTTAATATTTAACGTAAAACAGTTAATCAATTAATTATTTTTGCAGTACTGCCTATTACGTTGAGCAGCCTTGTTAAAGATCTCCGTGATGATGTGGTGTTCGAGTTTATAACATTATCTTCATGATTGACAATTCAATCCCATTGAACTGGTTTGAGCGAATTGCAAACAACATTACAATAAACGTATATGTATGTGTACTGAGACACTGTGAAAGTGACATCAGAAGACATCTGAAGATTGAACAAAATGTATAGCTCACTCGGAGTATGAAATATGAAGACTATGAAGAACACTGAGGAAATAAATAAACATTGTAAATAATTTAAATATGTTGCAGTAGCAATTATATTTTATTTTGAATTTTTTCTTGTTCATAAATATAGTGTATCAAATAGCAAATCCTTTTTTATAATTAATACATTTTGTATATTTTTGGATGATGTACAGTCAGAAAAAAAAGAGATGCGTCGATTTTCGTTCGTATAGGCCGTCCAAATTACATTTTCGGGGTTCATTTTACATATTGTATATGAGATTTTGTGTAATTTGGACGGCCTATACGAAAAAACGTCGACGCATCTCTTTTTTTTCTGACTGTATCTACATTCTACATATACGATACGTGTATTTGGTTGCATATCCTTTCAAAAAATGTGTTAATCCAACTGTAAGTCCTTCGTTTCAATCTTATTTCATACAATTTTAAGGATAAATCATTCGCGTTTCTCGTGTATACATAAAAAATATATATAGTTCGTTTTTTTTCTATAATACTTGTCAATGTAAATTTTTTAGGGTTTCTGTTGGTACTATCTAGGACCCTTATAAAATTTATGTTGTTTTCCTGATTTTTAGTAACATTTTCAGTAACTAAATAATTGAGGTTAAAATACTAATAAATTTTTAGATAAATACGATTTTAACCAAGTACATATTTATTGTAAAAACGTGCTACATAGTAATTAAATAGAATAAAACACCTTTTGTAGGTAAATAAATGCCAAATACACACCCCACAACATTTTTTTATGCACGTTTTCTTTTTGAATAACGAAAGCTTAAACGTCAGCAGAGTCAAATAAACGTCAGTGTGACATATTTATTTCAAAACATCATATAACAAAACTCCCTGTTAGTTTTGCCAACTTTACAACAATTTGACAGGTATTATAGAAAAAAAATGAACTATACATAATACTTAGTACATTTGAATAAATTAGAGAATTTTTATTCAAATCAAATTATATTCATCACCTGCCACCCTTTCAACAATATCATTACTAGCGATTTGTACAGTTTGTAGCTTTTTATATATTTCCTAATGTTTCGTTAGGCATCTTTTTAAATTTATTAAATTTTTTTCTTGTCGTACTGCATACATAACATAGTTGCGTAGAAGTCGTATAAATTAACGTTCATCATCATCGTAGCATATTAAAGTATTAATAACATCTATTCACTTATTTTCAATTAAACAACTGCTTCTGTCTTGTACAGGGTGCGACAACATAACTTCCTTTTTCGAAATGTGCGCCATTTAGTCGGTTGATGTCGTAGCGGAGCGCTAGTGGTCTCGTTCGAGAGGGTGGACTATAAAGTTTTGTTCCGACAAAGTTCAGGCGCCATCATGTGTTAGATCAGTGAAGAGCGTGCGTTTCCCGTTGAGGCCTACTCTTCGAGCGGATATTCTGTGATCGCAACCTAGTGCGCTTTTCGGAATCACTTTAATTTAGCCCCTGTTCTGAATCGGAAATCAATTGTTACGTGGGTCACTACGATCAGACAAACTGCAAGTGCGACAAGACGAAGAACTAGAGTCCCTCGGCCCATTAGAACACCTGAGAACATTGAGGCAGTAAGAGCTTTAGTGTTGCGATCACCACGGCTAGATAAGTTGGACTTAGGGGACATTTGGTTCCAACAAGACGGTGCAACGGCTCAAACTTCAAGAGCATGATGGGTGTTTTAAGGGAACACTTCCCAAAACGCCTAATCTCAATAAGGGGCGATTTGGAGTGGCCGGTCCGGTCTCCCGATTTGGCTCCTTGTGATTTTTTCTATGGGGTTTTTTAAATCCCGTGTTTATGTAAACCATCCAAGGACCCTACAAGATTTGACCAACATCCAAGAAGAAATTGCCAACATAACCCCTGCTATATTGGCAAGAGTCATGACAAACGCCAGAAATCGGTTTACTCAGTAATAGGAGACGTCACCTACCTGATTTAATCTTCAAAGCTGTGTAAAACAAAACTTTATGCATGTGCCTACATTATAAAAAGCAAATAAAAGTGTTCTGATTCATACAATACGTTTTATCAAGTTTTGAAAAAGTTATGTTGCCGCACCCTGTATAATTTAAACTATGTGTTTCTGTACAACTGAAGTTTGTGTGATTTTTTACAAATTCAATTTTCAAAGACCCACAGTAAGACGAGTTGGCTAAATATTTTATCTCCACAAACGCGTTGATGCAGCACAATGCAGGCATATCACTACCTTCAAAAATAACAATTAGCAAGTTTGTGTGGGAGTATACTCTTATAAGTAAACGTTTAACTTTTTCTTCTTCTCTTAGTATAGGAATTTTCTTTAGCCCATTCTCATGGACATGGGGGCTCTGCTTTGGCTATGTTCGCTAATGCATTCTTACCCACCTTATCGACATGCACATTCTATTTATGTCGTCTTTCTCGCGCCCATCAAATGAAATCCTGTAATGGACATGTCTGCTATATTTCATCAGTCCTTATTATTCTTAGTCATGAAGCCTCACCCCAATTATCGAACATAGCGTGCGCATCTCAGCCTTTCTTAAAATTTTACTTGTCTTGCTTGTGTCTACCCTTGTCTCAGCCCCGTATAACATGATCTGTTCTATAGTCTGGGTGTTTACTACAAGCTTACTACGAATAAGATATAGTCATTAATTATGTTTTTGGTATTGACATTTCCATGTTATAGTAATTAGCAGTTTGGTTGAATGAAGCAGGCGCTGCACAGTATCTTTATCTTTTTAGCTCCTAAGGTATATCCTTCTGTTGTTTTTTAACGTTCTCGATTATTTTGTCCATTTGTTTCTTTGGAGGGTATCTCATGCTACCTGGAATTCTTTTGTTAGTTCATCATCCAATTTAATATTGGTATAGTTGTTACTAAGTTGTTGATAAGGAGATGAGAGAGTAAGAGAGGTGGTGGAAGATCTGTGGACGGATAGAGAATAGTGGAAAGTAGGAATCGGAAGTCGTCGGAAAACGTTCTAAATACATATCTGATATTGATGATTATTTTAAGATTTATTTGATTTATTGTTAACAAAACAGCTAGTAGGACTAAAATAGCGCTTAGTAAGGTCCTGCAGCTGGTTTTAAAATTCTTTAGTTCTACCGTTGGTTTGCGATGAATGGAACTGTTTCTATATCAACTGTCGATGTTGTTTTCAATTTTTTCATTCTTTTTCAATTTCTCATTCATCATACATGGTGCAGATATCTATTCTGTTCCAAGATAATTTCTTTGTTTCTTATTCCATGATATCACGATCCAAGTCATATCAGATACTTCTTCCAGTATCTTTTTCATTTTCGCAAGACGTCGTTGCCATAAAATTTCTGCATTAGAGGCTGATTTGTCAGTTCTTACATTTAAACATATTTTGGAAAGAAACTACCGAAGCAGTTTCAGATACCACAATATTTTTAGGGTAACAAAATTTTTCTCACTTGCACCTTTTTGTATGAAGAGTATTCTTCTGGAGCAGATCTTATGAAGTCATATTGATGCCATGATAATTTAGCTTTGTCTAGAATAGTCAAATCATCTACGTCTGATATACGTTATTGCGATTCAAACAACCGTTTGTAAGCTTTAATATCTAAGCTTGTGACGCGACAGTATGCAGAAATTTAAGGCCAGTGGTATTGCATCTCTCAACGAAAGCAAATGTTGCATCTCTCAATTTCTTCGTTTACTCTAGCTTTGAATGTTCCAAATTGACTTCAACCGGTTTTTCTTGGCTATGTTAAATTGGCAACCTATGTTAAATCCTAAAACTCTTCATTTTTATCCCACACGTTTTCATTCATTTAAAAATTTCTTGTCGTTGCTGAGGTATTGTTACCGTATGTTTGTGGCTAATATTTATGTTGTGAACGTCTGTCTTAAACGTAATTTTGTGAAGACCTTGTGATAGAGACAAGCAGAGTGGAGAGCTCGCCGATTTGACATATTAAACCAACACACCCACTCTAATGTGTATGAGATTCTATCATATTTTCGAATGCCGTAAACAATGCGTTAAGAAGCATTTTAAACTCTTTATATCTTTATTCTGTAGATACTATCATATCAATACACGGTCCTAAAACCGTAATTAAAGATTGAGATAACCTACACATCACATAAACGTATCTGGAGTTTCTGCTCCAATAAGTATCTACTATTACAAACCATTTTTAATGTTGCATATGAGATCACCGGTATCAGGTATGTGATCAAAGTCTTAAATCGCTATCAACATCGCCTTAATAAAACGTTATAAAAATTACTTTATTATACTAAAATAATGAAGCAAATTAACTCACCATGTACATCAGATCCAAAATCAGTTGCATTTCCTGTCAGAAATTTTTCTTTTGGTCCTGGTAGCTTATCCAAATCTCTAAATTTGCTTTTTAGATTTTTATACCAAAAATAAATTCCCACTATTAAAGCTATCAAAAGAACTATTAACACAAACATTTCTTTGATACTGTATCCTAAAAGAGCAAATAAAATGTACTTAAAAATCACAAATTTTGATTAATGTAACGATTTTGTAAATTGATAATTCAACTTTGTGATAACTTCTTGGCCAACACATCTAATACAACTCAAATTAAATGTTATTTAGTTCTTATCATATTTAGGATAGGTTATCGCATTTTTCGTATCTATATTGTGCACATAGGCAACTTTATATACGCTACGTGCATTGTATTCTTTGCCTATACACAATCAATTTGAACCTATTGAGTACTTTTAATAAAATATCTGAATGGACTAATTAAGTTAAATTTGGCCAACAATTATTTCTAAAAATACTACATTCATAAACGACAATTATGTTAAAAGCGAGTTCGATGACGCATGAAAATATGATAAATAAACATATAGATATTATGTATCATGATAATGCTATCTTTATCAAAGACACATCGACTGTTGTTTGAACAAATGGTTTTACAGTGTTCCTTTGTAACGTTAATCATAAATGGAAACATGAAGAGGATATAGATAAGAATTTAGAACTGATTAATTAAAAGAAATCGATATCTTCATAAGACTTCCTTTAATCTCCTTTTTTCTTTGGAGTTGTAGATGTAAATAAATTTTGAAGTGAAAAAAATGGATTTCACTATACATTAAGTACCTTTTCGGAATTAATTTAACAATGTTGGTTTTATGCTTTCACTACGCACAGAAATTGCTTTCCATTTTCATTTTAAAAGGCTTTCACTTCAACAACCACTACAAAACCGATTCTCTTACAAATTCCTGTCGTTCGTCACCATAACTTTTCTTTCTACGTTTCTAAAAATATCTTTATATGATTCAATAAGAATATGAAATTTATGGGAACGTGTCGTTGCAGTTTTATGCGGTCTTTGAATTCTTTGTATGCAGTGGCAACACTCCAATTGGAACAAAAACGTATTTTTAGAGAAAAATGTGAAAATTTTAAATTTGACCGTAACGTGTTTCAGGTTTAAATTCTTTTGAGAGAGCGAGAGAATTTTAAAATTTGTTTATTGTGTTTTCCTAAAAGAATTCTTTAATGTTATTTAAAAAAGAATTTGTTTGAAATGACAATAAAAAATACGTTTGTCGACATATGTAAAAACCGAACAAGTCTTTATCGGTTTAAAATTCTTACGAATGCAATAAATATATAAAAATATAACATTTGACCTTTCTGGCGGTCAATGTTTATTTTTTTTATATCTTATAAATATTACCTTATTTTTGTGTTAAAAAAAGGGATCACTAAACAACGTTTTACTTCAAGAGTTACAGAAAAACTAAAGAAAACTAACATTGTATCAATACCAATTTGTTATTGCAACTATAAATAGAATATTGCGGCTTTGAACCATCAAAGGCAATTTAAAAATCTTCAAGTTTACGACGCACTGTTGTTATTTGCAATGATAATTATTAAAATGACTGTGACAGAGTTCACAAACCTAGTTTTTATAAATGAAGTGATAATGTAACTGAACAAATTTATGTAAAAATAAAATTTTTCTTTAGAAACTTTTTCCTTTAAAAACGTATCCATTAAAAAAAACTTTCTAGCAGACTGCACATTTTAACAACTTAGGTGTTCGATTGGATGGAACGAACTTATAATTTTTTTTAATATCAGATGGGTGCAATGTCCTCAATGAACCTACACCCAGCTTCAATCCACTTATTGTCCAGTTACGTTCGCCTCAACCGTTCGTCAAGATCGTCGATAAATCCATCATCAAACAGACCGGATTTGTCCAATCAATCCAATAAATTTTTCTATCATCACCACCGCCGCTACAGAAATTTTATTTCCTTTGCCGATGCAACAAATTGCTGCTATTTTCAACGGACTGAAATTAAAAATAGAAAGCACCAGTCTATTCTCGGCGCCGACCGATAAATTCCTCGCATTGCAAATGCACCTTAACGGACGTGTTTGCCTTTTAATTTTGGAAACTCAACCATTTATTCAATCGATGGTAATTTGTAAATCTTGTACGATTGACGTTTGTAGTCGTCGTCGTCTATGAGATCGCGTGCGGTATCGATTTTTTTGTTTTCCTTTTTGTTACTACTTTTTATTTATGTTTGAGCTTGTATGGCTTATTACGAGTTACATATTTCATTCCACCGATCTGACCAAAGTACGATGACCTGCATTTCCAAATAGACCTACACAGTATGCGCAGTACGAGGGGATTGCTTCTGCTACTTATATTTCAGATCGTCAGGAACGTACTGAAAATTTTCAGTAAAAAATTAAAGCTAAGCATGATGAATAGAAATTTTGCGTTATGTAACTGTGCGAAAATGTTTAAAAATCGGTTAAAGAAATTAAAGTGACTTAAAATATTAGAATCATTAAAATGATTAAAATTATGTGTTTAATTCAAACTCCTTTTTTTAAGAAATCAACATCATGCATTGATGTTGTGAACATTATTCCATCTGATATTTTTAAGTTGTTGCTCACGACATACGATAAGATTAGGAGCTTACAGCATATCATCATAAAGTTTTTATGCAAGAAGCTACACATCTTGCAACCACAAAGATGAGAAATGACCATCCATGCTCCCGAGTTCAAAAACCAAAATAATAATAATAATAATTTATTATGTTAATAACCCAGAGGGCATACATTCGTCACAATCGAAATAGAAATACAACATAAAAACATATATAAGAAAGAATAAATTACTAAATACATTACATTACATTAAACCCTTGATAAAATAATCGGTGTAATAAATCAGTGTCCGGTCAGTAGCGACAAAGGCACAGTCGTAATACATCATAAAAATATCAATCGAAGGACTGTATATCGTTTAAGAAATCATCTATGGAGTAATACGCCTTCCTTACTAAAACATTTTTAATTTTGGTTACAAAAGCTTTATAAGGTAAGCTTCTATAACCACAATGCAAGACATTGAAGAACTTCACTCCATAGTAATTATATGCGTTTCTCGACCTCTCCAGTCGCAGTGCCTCCGGTCGAATGTCATTCCTCCCCCTAGTGCCATAACTGTGAACATCACTATTTTTCCTATGCTGACTATGATGTAAAAAAGTGAGCTTTAAACATTCCAAAATATATAATGAAGGAAGTGTTAATATTTTTAATTTGATAAAAGAAGGCCTACAGTAATCAGTATAGTTCAAGTTAGCAACATTTCTAATAGCTCTTCTTTGTATCCCAAATATTCTTTTATTGATCGGGGCATGTCCCCAGGCCAGTAACCCATAACTTAGATGGCTCTGAAAAAGCGCAAAATACGCGGAACGCAATACCCGAGTAGAGGAAAACTCAGACAGACGACCCAACAGAAAAGCGGAGCTTAAGCGTGAGGCTAATTTCTCACCATGAACATTCCAGGTAAGCCCCGAATCCAGATGAACACCCAAAAACCTGACTCCTCTATCCGCTACATAGGATTTAATAGTAGTTTGCTTTAGTGTAAAGGTCATTACTTCTGTTTTATCAGCATTCAGTGTTAGACGATTACTTGCAAACCAATGCCTTGCCGATTTTAACATTAAATCTTGCAATCCCCTGGCATCAACGTCAGAATCATGTTTTGTCAGCAAACTTGTGTCATCCGCATACAAGATTGAACTTGAGCTTCCACCACTCAGGAAAAAAGGCAAATCATTTACATATATTAAGAATAAAATAGGACCCAAAATTGACCCCTGAGGAACACCACTTGTAATATTCCCAGGGTTAGACATCACCGAGTTAAATTTAACAAATTGACTTCTATTTGTAAGATAAGATGACAAAAGCTTGCAAGCGTCCGGGGCGACATTGTAAGCGTACAATTTACGTATTAAAATAGAATGGGACACGCAATCAAAAGCTTTGGTAAGATCCAGAAAACTAGCTTCAGTGTATTGCGACGCCTCAAAACCATCGACCACATACTCGATAAAATTTTGTATAGCAAGTGCCGTAGAGAGTCCTTTTCTAAAGCCAAATTGTTGTTTGTTAAAAATATTATTAGTGTCAAAATAATTGATTAATTGATTTTTCCATAGCATTTCAAAAATTTTCGACAACCCTGGCAGTATACTAATTGGTCTAAAGTTCGAAGGACCATCAATATCACCTTTTTTGAATAGCGGCAAAACACTTGCCAACTTAAATTTATCAGGAAAACATCCTGTGTTTAAACACTGATTGAACAGAGTAGTAAGTCCTGGGATCAGACAGTTTTTGACCTTTTTTATCATGACCGCATTTAAACCAAACGCATCAACCGATTTGCCAGGCTTAAGGGCGTCAAAGGAATCCCGTACCTCCACCTGTGAGAAAGCTTTAAAGGTAAAATATTCCCCATTTGTGTAATTGACACATTCTAAGAGAAACGACAGCGGATCTTCGTCCCCTTCCAAATTATTAGCCAATCTATCCGATACATTTAAAAAGAAATTATTAAGTTCATTCCCGTCTAAATTACTATCCTTTTCATCAGCATTCCCAGAAGACTTACAGGTATTAATTATTTTCCATATAGCTGCCGGTTGATTTTTATGATTGATGATGTAATTATCAGTAGCATTTCGTTTAGCGTGATTCACTGCTAACCTGTATGCTTTACGACATTTATTTCGTTCAATAAGTACGTACGGATTTTTATTGATTCTGTATAATTCACAAAGAAAAGTAAGTTTTTCTTTATGTTGCCTAAGTTGTGAGTTATACCAAGCTATATTCAGTGAATCACGATTACGAGTATCTTTGACAGTTATAGTAGGGAAAGCGATCATAGCCGCGTTTCTCAAAAAGTCAATCAAAATATTAGTCTATTAGTAAATGCAGCTTTACAAGTAATATATTGTAATCAATAACATTAAATGCCTGAACCAGTTAATTTCCATTTAGTTTTCACGAATTTGCTGAGCTAAACAATAAAAGTTATAAAGTTTATAACGATCTTGGTAATAAAATAACAGGACTGTAACCTGAAATAGTTATTAGGAGTGATCTTTTTGTGATAAGGATGAATTCAGTCTCATTTCTGTTATTATCACAACCATTAAAATATACCATTTTTCACATTATGAAGTTCTCCGTTTTGAATTCCAAATTGTTGCAACGAATTTTCTGACATCAGTGATAAATACACTGCTGCAATATAATGTGTAAAATGCCACATTATTAACTACCTGAAAAATGGAAATCCTGTGACATGAGGCCTTAAATTAATTAATTCTCTTAAATTATCTTGTGCACCGTCTAATCCGTAAAATATTTTAGACTGTTCTTTCATCGTGACCAACCACCCCAGACAGAACAAAATCTTCTTCAGGACAATTCAGTGCCACTCAAACCATCATTTTGTAACATCACCTATTGCAATACAGTGTATGGAAACATTAATAGCTATTTCCCAAAAATATACATCTAACTAGAAATAATATTACGTTAAATCATATTTATTCTACGATGGTTTAGAAAATCCCAGAGATGCAGCTGTGATTATAGTGTTGTGAACCAAAATATTAAAAAAAAAAACCTAGTTTAAAAAGTGGGCTACGACTACTGTATTTTATAGAAAAACAAATTATTAACGAAATAAATAAATCATAGATAAGATATAATATATTTGTTATATAGATGGGCAACTATAAACGTTTAATTGAAATGCGCAATTAGTTTTGGATACTGTCACCTACAGCGCTGAAATCATTGGCAGGCGGGAAATATAAATTAATTTTGTTATTTGAAAGGTTTATCGATGATTTTTTACGAAAACATTGCTTGGCGACAAAACTTTACAAACTGTGCAAAACTTTAAACACATTAAATTTTGTCGTTTACAATGTTATACAAAAAAACATCAAACAAACATAATTTAATACCTATTAAATTATTATTTGGTACAGGGTTTATTAAAAAGTCTTTAAATGAATAACAAATTCTTTATTCTTTAATTTTTTTATTATTATTTTTACCACATCGTTTCCTTTTAATTTTATTGCATTTATCCAATGCTGCTTCCGCGTCAATCGAAGTGTACTTATTATAAAGCAACACCAACAAATCGCTTTTTCTTCAAATCGCTAGCAACTCTTCCACTGTACACAATACAACGCAATCAAAAATATTACTATGTCAAACCTGGTCAAACCAGTCAAACTGACAACTCAAAAAATTGCCA